AAAGAAACTGCTGCGGCTTCATGTAAAGTGCCTCCAAAATCAAAATACCCGCTTCAAACTCGCAGGGTTCGTTCGTTCGGATCGATGAAGTATATCCGGGCTGGAGAAAATTGTCTGAAAGGTTTAACCGGTAGCGTTGACAAGAGAGGGATAGAGGGACTGACGGGCGGACGGGCAGACGGACTGACGGGCAGATGGATGGAGACACGGACAGGCAGACGGTGTGCTGTCAATCAATTTTTCGATACCCATGACCCCACAAATGTGAATTCTGCGAACATAACGTGTTAGATGAATTAATTTAATACATATCAAAACAAGATTTATTCTTTTTTTGTTACCAGAGCCCTATGATAAGAGTTTTTTCTGTAAATAAATCGCATTTGTCGCAGTGTTGCAATACTTTACTTACACTACGGAAGTACGTATTTGGCGAGAAAGTAAAACTTGACAATGGTCTTCTCATCAGTTAGATGACCAAAGGTTTCTAATGTCTATTTTCTGGGAAACACTGCGTTTCTGCACAAAATTTTGTCGACGACTTCTCTTCTATAACATCGCACACAAGAGCGCTTCTAGTCTTGGGAAAGGGTCCGAATTTAAAAATTGCAACAAAGTAAAAAATACCGACGGAAACTTTTGGCTTTCTAAGCCAAATCGGGAAATGAATTATTTGTTATTAATATTATGACGAACGCGTGTTTTCATATCTGAAATGACTAACTTATTAGGGTTTTTGGATAGGATTATTTCGATTAAAATGTACAAAAATATTATGAACATGTTAACTGTGATTAAATAAAGTTAACCCATTTGACAAAGCACGACGTTTCCCGAATCGAGAATTTGTTCACACATAAATACTAATATTTTTTAAAAATATAACAGAGCCATTGAAATTGGGACTCTGCGGTGATGGTATTCGAACTTCCCTTACCAGTACGCCAATATATATTATTTTCCGTACCTGACATTCCAGATGCACACGATGGCATATCTGGAGAAATACAAGCTGCTGGAGGAGGAATTTGCTCTTCATCAGTTAAGCTTCCTGAGAGGTCTCCCAATTCTGTACTTGGTCGCCGAGTTGAAGCTGCAGACATTACTGTAATAAAATATACAATTTTTGAATTATCACAACTACCTGATATAACGGAACAAATTAACGGAAAATATATTATGTATTTCATTACAATACTACTTTTTCCAACTTTTACTTGGAAGGGCAAATATTGTTTTTCTTCTGCATACGCATAATTATTGACTATTGATTTAACGATATCATTATTAGGAATGCTTAATCTGTAGCAAATAAATACGGGTAATCTGAATCCAATCTCCTTATTAACTAATGATGCTTTGTTATCTAGTCGACTATCAATAATTACATAACAATTTAAAATACCTTATGTTGTAAGATTATATTGATGAAATTTTTAAAAGGCATGAATTTTTTGGTAATATATTATTCCAACCGAGAATTTTGTTTTTAAATTTTTCCTAATTAAAACAAAGTAATGGAGTGCTATCCTTTTTATGTCCGGAAATTGAACACTACTAGTGCGAATTTTCAAGGCATGTTATCAAAATTACATTTCATAAAATTCTTAATAAATGTCTCCAAATATGATGCAAATAGTTTGGCTTTTCATTTTTAATTAATTTTCATATAGTTTTTTATTATTGTATTTGAAAGAAATTTCATCTGTACTTATAATAAAAGCCGATATACTTGCAAAACAGTATTAAAATTTTCATTTCATCAGTATCTTGAAATAAGCTTTACCATTACTAGATATTGTGGATTCAGCTGAGCCAGAGCGACTGGAGTGCAAGAGACCCAAGCAGCTTGAATTCATATTCAAAGATGCCACAAGAAAGGATCGGGTGAACATATTCGAACCATCAGAATTAATGCTTAATGTGCAACATTGGCACAATTGTAAAATGCGTTCACATAAAACAAAGATTATCTGCAAAAGAAAAATGTGTTAATTACTGAAAATACACAGTGGATAGTTGAAACACCTATTGGGTAACATATTGGTATGGTGCAATTATTTTCTCTACAGCTTACATACTTCTTTCACGTTCTGGTTTAGGCACGGCGTTGACCCAGACAAACGGCCATACACTCGTTTTGTTGCCAATCGATTTTTCGTTATCAAGAATCGAAACATGTGGATTTTCACTACAATTATTACATCCAGGGACTTGATTTATTCAGTTTTTCGTTACCACGGCCGCACAATAAGAGTTTTTCTGCCAAATAATCGCTGATTTCCGCTGCAACATTACAATACTTTCTCTTTACGAGAAAGCAAAATAGGAAGACCTTTAGGTGAGAACACAAGGGGAGAAGCGATCGAGAAATCGATGAGAGGGAACTCAGAAGACATAGCAGACACGACGCGCCACGTTATCGACAGATGTATAGAATAGGGTAGTCGAGAACGAGTTAATGGGGAAGCTTGCGCGATGCAACTTATCGAAAAAGACTTCGGCAAGCAGATTTGAAATTCAAAGAGATAAGAGATTGATTCTGAGAAAGAATTTTCCAAATTCGATGAGACGATATGAGGTCTCTAAGTGAGAGAGAAAGTCTTAAATATCTGCCTGGTCCTCCAAGCGTTCGGAACACGGTCGAAAGGGAGAATCCGGCTAAGAAGACGGCTCTTAAGCTCATATTTTTCTTACACGTGGTTACACTTTCTTCCACGCTCATTACTTGCTATTTATTAAAATGTTTCAAAATTACTGCAATTTTCTCACAGATAATTAATTAAAAAAAATATTTCTCGATCGACATTTATGTCTTTCGAGGGTTTGAGATACGTAGTGATATATGGCTTATTAGGATACGGCCATCCTTAAGTCGTGGTTGGTTTCTTAGCTATACTGATGGGTTTTGCCTATTGTTCGAGGATGGTATACTGGTCGATATGTACGAGGGAGATGTGAAGTTAAGGAGGTTTAAAATCTATCGGGGATCTTGATAAAAATCGCGGTCTGTTGTTTCTTCCTAAATTGAATAGGTGAATGGAGAATTTGGTAGGTGGTTGTAGAAATTGATGGTAATATTTTTTAACGTCTCCTTGAGTTCTGGTGTCTAATTTATGTCGGATTTGGGGATTGGTAATGTACCATGGCGAGTTGAGAGTTATATATTATCAGATACGTATTTAGGAGAACACTAAGTCTGTTTAAAGTGCATGGTATGCGTATACCATTGTTGGTGCTATAACTGATTTAAAGATTAATAGTCTGCATTCTAATCTCAGAAGAGTACGGTGATTTATAATCGGTATTAATTTGGATATTTTAATTTTTGTTTTGTCTATGACTGAATTAACATGGGGTTTCCATGTGCGTCTTTTATCGATGACGATATCGAATATCGCTGAGATATTTTATAGGGTGGTTGTTCATGGGATTTTGTTCCTTGGATTAAGATTTCTGGAGGATGTTTGGGACGGCAGAGAATAAAGAGTTACTATTATGTGGCTTGATTATAACTCAAACGAAACCAAGCACGCAAACCAACATTTAAAACTGCAACTGAGAGAGAAAAAAATGTTGCACTTTTTGAAATAAATTTCCTCTCAACAAAACACTTCAAACGGCATGGTCTCCACATGAACCTTGCTGGTAAACATACAGTCGGCAATAAGATTGCACTACACATCATCAACTCCAGTCCTCCGCAGTCTCCTGCCAAAATTCCATCCCTTTCACCTTCCTTACGTTCTCCACCCCCAGCCTTATTTCAAACTCTCGTACCTCCTCCTCTGATCCTACTCCCGTTTCTCCCACTACCACTACCAATTCTCCTACACCTGATGCCTCAGTTTCCTCACAACCTGTCACTGCAGGGACATATGAGTACTACAACCTTCGACCACGCAATCGAGGAAAAAATGGAGTAAATATATATCAACTACAGTCAGATGCAGTAGAAGAAACATTCTTGTAGGTACTTGCAAAAGATAAACATACTGCCATAATGTTCAATCCCTTTAAAAAAAACTGGGTTTATCGTCTAGCTCTACAGAGCGACTTAAATCAAATGGATGTTCTTTGCTTTACAGAATATTTGTTATTTCTTAATGATCTTAGCATTTTTCAAATTCCAAACTTTTACCTCGCAGGCTATTATTGTAGAGAAAAGGAATCACATAAAGGTCCTGCATATGGGGTTCTTGCATTTACGTTCGAAATAATATCGATTCTATTTCCTTGACGGAATTAAATGTGTATTCCGTTGAAAATGTCTTTGAAATATCTGTAGAACGTCTTCCTATACTAAAAATTATATAACTTTGCATCTAAATTCCTCCTACAGAGAAAACAGTAGATTGTGACGTAGTGAAATAAGAAATAAATTTCAATAACAAAAGAAAAATAATATATTAAAGATTATGTACAAGTTACAATGAATTGCTAATTTTAAAACACTCCGGCAACCTTTTCCTTTCAATACCCTGCTTTACCGCAGAAAAATACAAGCCACGCGTGATGCGAGCTGTCGGACCTCCGTCCCGTGACAATTACCGTCACATGGCTTGACGCCAAAATTTAACCCGGTCGTGGCGACCGTGTGCCTACAGCACGCGAGATCGTCTGGCCCTTACTCTCCGGACATCTCGCCCACACTCCTACACCCCTTGTACATACACGTGCAAGCTTCCCGATGCAAACTGAATGAGAACGCGGGCGCAGATGGCGCCGCGTTAAATAGTTGAGGCTGACACCCCCCCACCACTGTTCCATAGATAGGCTCGCCGGCTGGCGGCCGCGAGGCTCGCTGGCCAGCAGCTTGGTTTACGCCCACACACAGGATTCTCAGGTTGGCTCGCCTGCTTCCGTAAGCGAGGCTCGCTGGCTAGCATCCTCGGAGTTTACAGCCCACGGTATTTTTGGCTCTGCGGCTCTACCTGAGTCAACCGCCAGAGCGCAAACTCCCGGAAGTTCAGGCTCAACCCCTTCCTCCCCCGCAGCGTACTTTCACCGACCTAACGGTTCTGGCCCTCGTGTTAACGACGCCACAAGATTATATTACGTTCTTAAAAAAAACTGGAGATAACACTAAACAAAGTCAGCTATTGCTCTTTTGAATCCATTGTTGTATGCACAGATTTTAACATTGATTTTCTGGTTGAATCTTGCGAAAAAGAGAAGTTTCTCAATTTAATTCATTCCTTCAGTTTAGATATTACAATAAATGTACCTACACGTATCACACTAAATTCAAAGAAGGCAATCGATCAAATACTAATTAACAAAACCACTACTCGATATGAAATTGAAACAGAAGATTTATGATACAGTGATCATGAAGCACAAATTCTTACCATTATAAGAAATGCGAACACTGACACAATGAATATACACATATGGTCCACGATGGAGAGCGGATGTGAATGTGGGGAAATAAAAATTAACGAGGTTACGTGGTTGTGACTCGCGATCAACAGGCTGCGGATCGCGTAAGCGTTGCGATAGCGTAAGAGGCAATTTGAAAACAAACGCGACGTTCGCCGTGAGAGAGAACGGGGAGTGAACGGACTACGCCCTACAGGAATTTCACCTCCAAAAGCAGCCCCGTCGTAGAGGGAACAGTGTCCTCAATTTGATTTATGATGCGATTCCTTGTACTGGTTAAAGGTTATCTATTATTATCATTACCGTCGTAGACTTGTATTGCAAATCGAGTATTAAGTAAAATGAAGCAGTGTTATCTGCTATTAATATCAACCTTTCACTATTAGAATTGAGTCTGTTCCACAGAGAACCCTGATCCCATTTTCGCTTACCAACTAAATGTCACTACAATATATTAAATTGAAAATTCACATTATTTCACACATGAAGTAAACTGTGTTTTCCGTCCTCAAACTATCAACTTTTCTTAGCGATGTATATATTACCTAGAAAGCTACTGATCGCAAAATAATCTTAAAATATTTTTTATTAAACATTTTTTTGAGTTATAAAAACAAAGAATAAAAAGTAAATGCAGTGTGGTGCAATGTCACAATACAGAATTTCATCTAATACAATGTTCTATATATAACAATTCGAGAAGCAAAGTACAGACTATCTAATAAACTTAAACGATTGCCAACTGACAAAAACCAGAATAATAATTTTAATTTTTGAATTTTGTAATAAAATAAATATAAAATATGAGCTAATGAAATACAATTCTATAAATAACATGAACTGAATAAAACACTGATGAAGTCTAAACGCTGTTTTCATTGAGTTGGCAATCGCAACAGTTAATTAATGAGTGACATATGAGGGAATAGCACTTTGAATGAGTGTGAAATGCGTTTAAAATATTTATTGTCAAAGTACTTTGATTTTTCGGGCAAATTTTAAGGAGAAGCGATGCATCCGTTTCAGGATATTCTGGAACTTGTTGACTGTCAAGACACAAAGTGCAGTGATGAGCATTTGGCGTAAACAGAATTGTCATCGAGAAGTTCTTGCATTTGCGAAAGGTTTGTGTTGATTGTTTCTTTCTGATTTTAAATGTTCTGTCGAATTTTGTCATTTAAAGTGGAATGGGAAACACTGGAAGATAAACCAAACTATGAACGTCCTGCATTTGCCCTGATCGCGATTTCGTTCTCGTCGGCACCAAAATCAGACGTGCCAAGAGAACTGCTCTTGGGAATCCTTTTAGCCTCCTTCAGAACATAAAGTGTGCCGTGATCCATAAATTGTGTGTTACACATTCAAAATTTCAATATATTTTCAATATTTTTTGTAGGGTAAATGTTACAAATTACAAATTCAAAATCCAATGTTAAAAAAGATGTGATTTTGAATCTAAATGGAAATTTAAACACTATTCGTTGATATGGCAGTTACCTCATTTAAAATGCGCAGTGTGTATGTTGCGTATCTGCAAAATCAATGTGTTAAATAATCATGAAAATGAGGAACTGAAACAGAAGGAAAGTATCACTAAGACAGGTTATGGTGAAATTTATCGCATAGATACTGTGATTTGGTAGTTCTGAATAAATATCTACTTTAATGTAGTGTAATATATTTACTAACAACTCAATGGATGACGTGAAAGGCAAGCACATGTGGCAGTCTATGATTTGATATCCAGTTCTTCAGCCTTTCGTCTTAACTGCGTTGGATGATTCGATCGCCAAGTGATTATATTGAAATTGTACGAAAGATTTTGAGTAATGATGGAATGAGTGGTAGAGGAGGATACGGGAGAACTTTCAGAAAATCTATTATCTACAACATATTCCACACGTTTCACGTTTTAAAACCCTGTTATAATGTGTGCACTCAAAGAGTATGGTGAATGTAAATAACCTTGTCAGCCATATTGCTGACGTCCGCCTTCATCTGCTGCCGGGGCTCGTCCGTGAATCACACCCTCCAACTCCAAAAATGTGAACTAACAAGCGGGGCATTTAGGGGAAGTTGCGACCGTTCGCCACGGAAAATTCCCTAGTACGTACTGCACACAAACAAAAATATAAGTAATTTCTAATAATTTGATTACAGTGGAAATGTTCCATCTTCAGCTTCTCCTTTCGTAGTATATGGAAACGCTTAGTACAAAATTTAGCCAATTCTTAATTCAGTTTCAAAACATCGTTGCTTGTGAATTTTAAACAAAGAAAATGCCTTTTAACGGCTTTTCATCTCATTCTCCAAATACATGTCAAAACCCTAGAGGCTGGCAGTTATGGAGAAAACTAACAACCGAGAGAAAATGGTTTAGTAAGATTGTTCAGCTATGGTATTTAACTGTAAGATATTCGCCATTTACAACTTGAAAGTAAGAAATTTGTGACAGATTAAAATAATTTTTCACACGAGCCATTTCCATTGTTAATAGTTATACTATAAGGATATCCGCCATGAGTGTTTGACACGTAGGCTTGGTAATTTTCTCTCGCAATTTAACATGCTATATAATTGAGAGTAAAATCTTTTGTTTTACCCGTTTGTAGTTCATTTACTGAAGTACACCGCAGGAAATTTTTGATATTCTACGGAAATATTTTATTGTGCTCACACTGACATAATTAGGATTAGAATGTGTATCGCTGTTGCTCAGCCGACAAGCAATTCCTTACTTGCGGGACTGTGTTTACATATATTTCTTGTTACATATATTACTTCTTCACTTCAAGTTTGCCGATGTTATGAGAGCTGCTGCCATATTACATGATGCAATGCTTTCTAGATTTACGCCTACCATACATCACATGTCTTAATGTAGTGTAGGAAACAATGACACAGTAAACTATCGGAGGAACAGAAAATGCAGTTCTCCTAATCATCATCATCATCATCAACATATTTGTCAGAGTTCAGGAGTTATCGTCCACATGATCACGTGTTCTTTTATAACAATAGTACTACGACAACTTTATTTTTTACTTTTGTAGTTGCTTTCTACTTAACATAAGCCAAACATGGTTTACGAAGAACTGAACTCCATGTAATCAACAGCAGTTAATTATTCTGGCGTCGGCAAACTTCAAGTGAACACGAAATACTCTGGGTGCACACAGAATAAAGAAAGTGCGTATTTGAAAGTGTAATGGACGAGGGTTATGAATTTCCAATTAGGGAAGACAAATGTGACAACTTAGAAAAGAAAGACCAAACAAAGTTTTCCTTTGGAAAAATGTTTTTCACAATTATTTTCAGGAAACAGAATGTTGCGTTTAACCGATTCGTTTGATCATAAACAAATTTGTTTGCACATTGATACGACACCCAGTCTTTTGTGTAATAATACTTACTTTGGGGATATGTTTGAAAATTCGTGCTTCATATCCATGAAGCATTAGGGCTTGTCTATGTAAATACTGTGGTAGTGTGAACTCTTGCTGCTTCTTGTCTTTTCCAAAGTCCCTGCAGATGCAAATATTCAGTAAATAAAATATACTCTCGTAATAAAAATAACTTTTAAATGTTATGCGTTCTTGAAATAAATGCGAGAAATGGAAAGGGTACCCTTCGATACGTTTGTTCTCCTAAATCAAATGACACATGAGTAGTCATTTATACTATAAACCTCACATAAAAATATATTTTTTGAAAGGTTTCGTAGCCCCCGGCACCCACACCCCTCTACAAACGACAATGTGTTTTTTTATTTTTTGCCAACTTAACACCTTCTTATCTGATTGAAAAAATATGAAAAATAAGACAATAAATCACAAAAACATTTTAAAATATTTTATCAGCGCCAAATTCAAACGAAAAATGTTTTTTAAAAAATATAAAAAAGCATAATCAAATTGCGTAAATTGGATTTTTTTTTACTTGTGTTAATTTTTCTTTCTTTAATAATCATTTCTTTTTGCACACAATAAACAATTTACATGTTTCTAGAGTGTTTTTATGTTTGTGAAATACAAATTTTTGCATAGAAAGTATTTTTTAAACCAACGTATGAGTGCTTATTGCGGCTCAACCATTCGGAATATCCAAGGATTTATTAGATAAAAGATGCTTAAAATTGTGTTAAGTGGTTATTTTAGAAGTTTCGACATTTCCTTCCTGGACATCCTGAATAATAAACACTAAAGCCAATACACAGAATTGTTGCTATTGTTTTAAAAATCACGATGATTTAAAGATGGGAAATCGGTAAAAATATTTATTTTTTTAACTACAACCTAGCAGTCAAAAAACAACAAAAAAAATTCACTATTTATGTCTTTAGAGGAATTTTTGCGAGTTTTTCGACCAACGTTATAAGACACAGTAGAAATTATTTTTTGTTACTTTTTCAAAATAATTTTTTGCAATTGAATTTGACGCTGAGAAAATATCAGAAAAGTTTTTTCTAATAGTATAAATTATTCTCTTATTTTTCATATTTTGTCTATCATATAAAATAGTGTTAAATTAACGATTTTTAAAGACACGTTTCTGGAGGGGTGTGATGGTAGGATGGGGTCTAAGAAACCTTTCAAAAATATTTTTTTAATGTTAGAGTTATTGTATAACAACTCATATTATTTGGTTTACCACTCATTGGTTATTTGGTTTACCATCTTATTCGGGGGTACCCTTTATGGGTGAGACATGTGATATGATGTCATCCCAATTGCAATAAGTAAGAAGTGTGAGTTGTTAATAAATGATTGGGATCGAAAGATCATTAGCTCTATCTTTCAATTCATATTTAAATTATTAGAACAATAATGTTAATAATAATGATAATAGTAATAATACTGAAGATGTTAATAATAATAATAATAATAATAATAATAAAAACGTAAAACGTCTGGCAAGGTAATAATTACTTACTTGTTACAAAATACGACACAATGAGGTAAAATATACTGCTCAAATTCTTGAACACAAAGGATCTGACCTCTCGTTTGTACTGCATTTGGGCGTTTTAATCTGACGAAGCGAATGGCGTCATTGGCACGCACTCGCAAGCTATACACTAGATAGCAAGCTATCAAAACGCCCGTTCTGCCAAGCCCTGAAACAAAAACGCAATCAAATGAAAATTTCGTTCCAATAAAACCTAAATTGTTATTATATGTTTAAAAGCTCCTTGTCACAGAGTCTTGTGGGTTGCACGACCCCTAAACGCTGTTCTGGACATGTATATCCCGGATATTGGCGGTGTTCCTCCCTCGCCGTAACATGAAAACCAGCGCCGACCTATACGGCACAGCTTGCAAGTTTTGTCTCTCCATTTATCTCCTCCAGTGGGGAACCATCCTAACTGTGACAGGCTCTTAGCTTTTGTCTGGTTCCGTCATGTGTGGTGCATGTGCGTGTGCGCGCGCGAGGGTGTAGAGCGTGTGCGTGTGGTGTGGGAGTCCGGGCCCCGAGTCCGTTTTTGGGGGCACTGTTCCGGTATTCGTCTAATACTGATAGGATTAACTGCAAACCACCGATCAGAGCAGCCGTTTGCAAGAATTCTCCCCACGTCAGCGGCCGAATTCGAACACCTATGTAGTAGCTGCTATCAAAATCTTCGTGATCAACTCCCATATCCCTCGGTCAACGCTATAACTCTTCGTGTGAGTCGATTCACTCACCAGGCACGTCACCACGTATTCAAATTTCCCGGGATAGAAGCTGCGTCACCGATAGAGATTAAATGGATGACACCGTATAAGCACAAGGAAAGTGATGACATAAAGTGATGTATATAACCAGAAACATTGGTAAGGGCATTAAGAAAACCACTACTAGAAAACCATATCAGATGAGTAGACTGCAAGGATTTTCTTATATACTGAAAATGTTGCTTCGGCTTGATATGCACACGAAATAAAAAGCTGAAATTTCTTTTGGAGTATAATAATCTGCGATTCACCTTGTAAAATTTCTATTTTCTCTTCTGCTGTTCTCAAACTCGATTTCGTTCTTTGATTCTCTAAATATTTTGTGCTACGAATCGCTCTACTGGTCCTGGAAAATTGTTGGAAGAGGTTTCCTCAGAATTCGGTTTGAATGAAGTTGTCTGCTCGAGAGCAAATTACTTTCTCGCTACCCCTTATGCAGTAGAGAGAAAGTTACGTAATGCTGGGGGAAAAAGCGGTGAATATTCGACAAAACGAACACTTATTACAGGGCCCTGATAACGAAAAGGTAGATAAATCCAGTTGATAAATTTAGAAACAAAATCCTGTAACACATCGTGTACCAGGAATCCACGTTTTGTGGCTCCTTCATACCGAATATTCGAATGATGGCAAAATGTTTGTCTGCCTAGCTGTGAATAACGCTAGCGGCTAAACCGGTCAGCCGATTTTCTCCAAAATTGATATAACCCAATCCATCTGGCTGATGTCACGGCCCCTTGAATTTGAATACTTTACATACAGCCCCTGGGACATTTCCAAAATTTACAAGTAAATCGCTCCATCGGTTTTGATTTAACGTTGTTGTTGGATAGAATGAAAAACGTTTAAGAGAATGGTGCAGGTCTCATGTTCGTTAAAAACACTGATTTTTTCGAAATTTTCAAAAAGTCAAACTTTTCCCGGCGTTTTCCTACAACTACAATTAAGAAAATCAAAACTGGCCGGACCAGATAGCCGAGATCGCTAAGTCAGTAGTGCCGTATTGATTTCGAACTGAAGGATCGCGGGTTCCAGTGCCGCCTCGGGCATGGTTGTACACTTCTGTTATCATCATATAGTGTCATCCTCATAGTTACCATACCGTTACACGCAATAGTGGTCGCTAATAACCTTGTAGTTGATGCGACTTTAAATTAGAGGCTTTTTCCCTAAATTTTCTTCTTTTTAATGTTTCCTAATAGAATGGAAATATTATTTTAAGGATATTAAAGAACAGTAAAAATTTGTCCTGAACGGCAATTTTCTTTGAAAAATTTGAAGTCGTTTTTCAGAAAATCGCGTTTAGGCGCTACTCTAAATTCGAAATTTGAAGCTCTTTCTCACAGAAAAGTTTAGAGTTTTGGAAATATTCTTTTGAAATACTTCAACTCACTGATACAATAATATTTACAAATTGTTGAAATGTGCATATTTACGGCATGAGATATCTTTAAAAAATTACATTTGTGTAATTTTTGAAAAAAAGGAACTTTACGCCACATTAAAGAGTGCAATTAGCACTATCGGTTCGAAAAGTTTGGAAAAAATGAAGCCCTTTTTGTGAATATGGCGTTTGAGCGTTTCTGAAAATGCGGAATTTTGAGCTAGTTTTCACAAATCGGTTGAGTTTTCGAGAAACTTTCCATGTTATTATTTAAAACACATGTACTCTTAAATTTAACAACTTGAACAAACCCATGCTAATGTAAATATTAATAACTTGAGAGACGTCAAAAAATTACATTTTTGTAAATTTTGAGGAAACAAAAGAATAGTGCATTATAGCGTTTATGTCAGCTTATACAGTGCATTTAGCACTATTACTACAAAAAGTGCCGGTCCAGATGGTCGAGATCGCTGAGGCAGTAGTGCTGCAGCGATCTCGGTGCGAAGGATCGCGGGTTCGAGTCCCGCCTCGGGCATTGTTGTATTGTGTTCGTTCTTTCTCACCCTTATCATCACACGGTGTCGTTCTTACAGTGACCATACCGTTACACGCAGTAGTGGTCCCTAATGACCTAGTAATTGATGCGACCTTAAGTTAAAAAAAAAGTAGAGCCTTTTTCCTTTAATGAAATTTGTTCATTAAAGATGTATTTTGAAATAAGGTCATGTACAATTTTTCGAAAATATTAGTATTTTTTGCGTAATTTTGCTTGAAAATACGGCCGAGAAAGTACGTGGTGATTTAACACCACTAATTTTTAGGTTTCGTTGATTATTACAGGCAGAGTAGGATGTGTATACCAATATGGCAGTTTGCTGTGTATTTCTTTTGTGTGAAAATAGTTCTTTTGGAAAATATTTTTAAATATAGGTTACGTTTCTTGCGCAACAGCAATACATACGAGTACGCATTATTTTAGGATGGAGAACCTGGAGAGTCACTGTTGCGTGTCCACCGCCGAGTCCTTGGCGGTCGCCCAGGCACGGCAGGATACTGACAGTCGGATGAAATGTGCCATTCAATTCAAACACAAAAGAACCAAATTCGAAAGTAATCGCGTGGTTAATTTTTTTGATAAGCACTGTTTTAAAAGTATGTCAAATTACATAAATAAACCATACAATAAAACCAATTTAAGTGAGAATAGGCTTAATCATTGTAAATATGCTATAATATACACAAAATTTGAAAGTTGATTCCAAATATCAAGAACTAAATAGAACTAGTAGGTATGATTTTTAAGCTTGTCATTGTCTTTACAAAAAAAAAGACAACAAAACATGCAAATACGCAGCCTAGTCATAATAATTTGAGTTTGCTCATTGGCGTGCCCACAAAAGGGGCAGGGGGATTGTGACTTTCCTTAAAATTTTGAAAGGGATCCTGTAGCCTCATGTAATAAAATTTTTAATTTTCATAAATACAAGACGGTATTTAATTACGATTATTCAAATCGATTGTCGGGGTTACTTGATTTTGTTTAGAGTCAATGGAATTATAGTTGATTATTATAGTTGCTGTGGTTGATAGACAAACTCTGTAAATTTCGTTACGAAACGATTCTAGTTACCCCATTTTAACGTAACATGGCAGTTACAACAATGTTTAAAAAATGACGGTGAGCAGTAGGGAGAAAGCGTTTTGTACTCTTGAGTATCACAACATTACCACAGTATCAATCCACTACCATAGTCCAGCGCCATTTTCGAACAAAATACGGAAAGGACCCTCCTTCCGAAAACTCTATTCGCAGATGGTTCGCTCAATTTGTGGATGCGGGCTATTTTGGTAAATGACAATGCAGCTGTAAATGACGACCCGCTGTGCCAGAAGCGGAAGTGTATCGGATCAGGGAAACTTATCCCCGTAGTCCTAAACAACCGACTTCAAGAGGCAGTAGGGAACTGATCACAGAACCGTTGATACCTCAGAACGACGACAGGGGCGATTTCCTAGCACAGGAAGACGGCGCGCTACCTCGTTTCCAGACACGTAAGAGCATTTTTAAACGAGCAACTTCCGCAGCGGTGGCTCGGACCGTGAACAGATGTTCTTACCCTGGCCCCCACGTTCACCAGACCTCATCGCGTGTGATTTTTTCCTGTGGGGATACATTAATGATTGAGTCTTTATTTCATCTGCGCCGACGAATATTCTGGGACTGAAAAGCAGCGCACCAGGTCTAGCTTCCTAAGCAACAGTGGTGAGATGTTGGACCATGTTTGGGACGATTTGGACTATCGGGAGGATGTGTGTCGAGTGGCTAAGAGAGCCCATAATGAGAATTTGTCCTATATGTAAAAAAAATGTATGAGTTCCAGTTCACAATAGAATAAGGTTCATATTTCCAAGACAATGTTCGATCCGTCACAGCAAAATAGGAAAATCATAGAGGAATATTTTATTTCATATGCTTAGCAGACAGAATCCGTTACAGCTTCCACAGATAGCACTTAATACGCACGGCCTCACCCTCCCTCCGCTTGCACGCTGTGTCGCAAGCGACTGTGACGTCACGGGGCTTCCCAGAAATATAACATGATCGCGTATGCGGCGACGGCTAATCGTCGAACTGGAACCGTCCCAACTGCCCGAAACTCCAAATGCTTCGAGAGCTGATGCATCGTTTCAAATACTAATTGGTGTCAGGCTATTGCCTTCCCTTGCACGAGCCTCACGAATGCGCGAACGAACATCCCAGCGCAGCGCCGCCGTCGCCGTCGCTGCCGCCGCCATCGTCAGGATGAGTTGACTTTAGCACCCGTGTGCACGACTCGCGCGCGCTGCCTCAGATTCCGTCGTTGCATGTTTCCTCTCATAAAACGTTTTTTGTATCGTCAGACTGAGTTGAATACAGCAACTGAACTCATGTTTCGCGCGCGCTGCCTCAGATTCCGTCGTTTCATTTTCCCCCTCATAAAGCATTCACTGTATCGTCAGTTTAAGATGAATACA